TCTTCTCCCTGTTCTTCAGCCACCCCCTTCATGTGCTCCATTCCATGGCCCTGGCGTATGATCGAGGCGACACGACGCTTGATCCGAACATGTCCAAGTACTTGCGGCGATCCGTGATTGAGTACCTCGTGTACTGCCCCATGCTCGTGCGCAATGACGTTAGTATTAGCGGCAAATTTGAACGAGCAAATGATGGAATAGTTCTGTGGATTCATTCAATCATTGAATGCGAGGTATTTTTTTGTGATTCGAAAGTGTATACATTTTCACATACAGGCAACGATAGATTTTAAGGGACACTAACTGCTTCGAAATTGTCATTATATGTAGGGAAGTCTTACGTTCTTTGAGGAAATGAAGCGCAGAAAAAGTCGCCTTACCAGCTGGCATAGACTGGGGATTCGGGGAATCGAACCCCGGGCACAGCGGTGACACCATTATTAACTTACCAAAATTGATCCCTTACAAAAGATTGCTTGTAATCAATCTGTATCGATGAATTAGGTTGGATGAATTTGTATAGGGAATTAGACAAGTTCCTTAAAAGAGATATACGCCCCCAAATGCCGTCGTGAATAGAAAATCCAAGGCTATATCTCAAGTACTGTAATTCGAACGTGTATCAATCATATCACGCCCTTCGTCGTGTTCAAAAATGGCTAAAATATTGGGATTTTGCTCGTGTTCAGAAAGCCGTGTCAATATTATTATTCCAAAAGCATGAATGAGCGACTACCACGTTAGGTGAATTTTTCCGTCGTTACCTGTATCGCTCTAGCCAGCCACAGATTTATCCTTTGGCACATCGATTGCGTCGACCACAGCATGGTTTTGGGGCGGCATTTTTCACCAGAAGGCTGTCGCTTGGGCCGCAGCGAGATTAGTGGGTGGGTATTCATGATACCCCTCCGCGCGCCCACCGGGATGAGTCGGTGGGTGTTCATGACTCATGAAACCCCTCTGCGTGCCTTCGAGGAACCCACTGCGGGGCAAAGTCAGCTCATTTTCGTTCTTCTGTCATGGCCAAATTCCTCGCCCTCGTTGCCCTCGCCGCGTCCGCCGCCGCCAAATCCGAAATCTTCAACGGCACGGAAGCCCCCATCGGCAAGTTCACGTACGTGTCGAGCATCCGCATTGACGAAACCAGTCCGGCTATCTGCACCGCGTCCTTGATTGCCCCCAAGCTGCTCCTCACCGCTGCCTTATGCGCCTACAAGTGGGTGCACTACGCTTCGATCGGGTCGCACTACACGAGCGGCAGCAAGGACGGCGAGCGCATCAAGATTGTCAAGAAAACTGTGCACCCCAAGTACAATGGTGCCCGGGGGGAATTCAACATTGCCATCTTTGAATTAGAAAACGAATCCAAATTCGCCCCCGTTGCGCTGAACTGGGTCGAAGACGCCGCGACCGCCCCCGGCACCATGGCGTGGGTGCGTGGCTTCGGCGCGACCCGACCATGGGGACAGAACCAATCTACCGTCTTCTTGGAAGCCAGCGTCAGAATATGGTCCAACAATGACTGCGACGACAAATTTTCTTTTGACATCCTCCCGTCCCACGTGTGCGCTGGTGGTGATGGAAAGAGCGTAACATTATTCGACACTGGCGCACCGTTGACCGTCACCCGCAACGGTGTTGAGTACGTCACCGGTGTGGTGGTCAGGGAAAGCATCACTTTTGAGGAATACGAGTACCCCGGTGTGTACATGCGCACATCGGCCTTCCGCGACTTCATCGAATCGTTCTTGCCGGTCACCCCCACTACTACCAAGCCTGCTTGCTAAGCAGCATGTGGTGTCATACAACTCAGTTGTCATTGTCAACGAGATGTCTGTAAAGCTCTTGTTAATCTTCTTGGCTGCTTCCTCCTTGGAGATCAAGGCGGACGCGATCAAAAAACGTTTCATCGGTGTCAGTCCACCGCGGCCCAGCTTTCGCATGCGTCATCCAAGTCCGAGCTGATCGCACAAGTTTCACTCGTTTTGTTCCAAGGCCGCTAGCCCCTTCCGCAACTCCATGTTGGCTATGGTGGCATGTGACACATTACATCGGTGGCACCATGTAGTCGATGTGGAAACCAAGTGTCGTTGAGCATCTAGTTGTGTCGGGGCATAGCATCACGCGCAAGTGAAATCAATGATTTTGTTGCTGGAAACGAGCGGGCAGCATGTACCTATTCCGAATGACTAAATAGGAATGTTGCGACGGCGTGGCGATGCATGTCGATGGCAACACTATTTTATGTGTTTACCCCCGCAATGCCAAAGACTCGATGCGTATTGACTCTGGTAAACACGACCGTGTGTGCCGTGGGGCCGCCTTCACGCGAAGACAATGGGGAAGTGCAACCTGTCCCAATCTCCACTTCATGCCTAAGGACAAGCACGACAGTGCCCGTAACAGGCTGGGTCGACCATGTACTCCACCCACGTTCGTTGAACAATTCACGCACGGACATGTATGCTGTGAGTTTTCCACGCACGCCCCAACTGAAACGATCTTGATGGCATAAATAGTACGTTAGAAACTATCATATCGTGCCTTAGCACCCATAGCAACTTCGATCCAGCGACGCTGATTTGAATCCCGTCTATTGCAAGCTACGACGGCCACGATTCCGACTGCTTACCCGGGTTGAATCAACTCTCTCCCATATACATGTAATCGACCTCGACTCACATGTATGGCTTGAAAAATGTATGTGTATGCAATATTGGCTATCAAGTTAGTCGTATCGAGTACTGATAGTCGATCCCAAGTCTTTGCTTCGAACCTTCGAACAAAACGAGTGAAACTTGAGCGATATCAGCTCGGACTTGGATGACGCATGCGAAAGCTGGGCCGCGGTGGACTGACACCGATGAAACGTTTTTTGATCGCGTCCGCCTTGATCTCCAAG